TTAATTCTAGTGAGCTCTAGTGATCATTGTTTTCCATAATGTAATATGTATAACAGTTAGCCGTCCACGTGCACGCTTAGAAACATCTGTTTCCAAATGAAACATTTTTTTGGAAAGAATACTGTAAAACCAGCTTAGTCCGGTTCGCACGATTATTTCTGGTCCAAAACATTGAACAAATACTCACCAAACGGAAAATCCGTTTCTTGGCCGGTACAACAAATGGGGTATGCACAACGAACCAACCATGTTTACACAATCACTTAACGTGTGCACATGGAAAGCGTACATGGTTGATGGATCAACCATGGATGCTCAAACGAGAATATGATAAAAATGCACAGGTTGTTTCGCCCCAACTCAGTACAACATTAGATTTGGGGTTTCACCAAAGCTGTGCTTAGATTTTCTAACAATTAACCACGGAATTCCAATCGAATATTGTCCTTGCTTGTAAAATATCATTTTTAAAGTTTTCGAATGCCATTGCCTTCATATACCTAGCATGGGCATTTGTGCTTTCCTAGTCTGATCTGCGTTATATAAATCCAGCAACCATCCAACCTTCCGGATTAGACGGGCATTTATATTTATGGGACATACCTCGGGGGCTTTTCACCGTGACCTTCAGTTTACTGGGTGTTTCGAAGGCATGCAGTTTCGATAAATCACATATTTTGCTGAGCCAAATCACTCAGTGCCGAGATATTTCTGCCACTAGAAACAAATGTTGTACAAATACTTCTCAACCTCCTCTGAGCTACTTTCTATTTTCAAACCCATTGGGCGTTGTGAACTGTTTCCACCTCGCACGGAAGTTTAGGACGGTAATTGTCATCTTGTTTGTTTTAATTTTATTCTACACGCTTTTGTGTGATGTTAAACAGCTGAACGAGAGTTTCTTTGCTACACTGTTTTGATATAAAATGTATAAATTAGCGGGATCTTAAGAACAATCGAAAGTGTAGCAATCGATAACCTGTTGAGGAATGAAAGGATTACGTCGCGAAAATAAGTGCTGATCGTGATGAACATACCGTGCTTCCTTTAGTTCTGATACTTCGTTATATGCCTGCCTAGTTCTTTAAAATGCATGGATTCTAAGAAATTAGCAACTGAAGCAGCTTTTGCCTGATTAGGGCATGCTTATCCCAAACGACTGTTTTCTTGAAAGCAAAAGTCACACTTAACTAGGTGTCAGACGTGCTTTGAGATCAATTATTTGTCTTTTATCTCAAACCAATTTTAGTGCTGCCTTGATAGATCATTGTTTGTCCATAAATTTGTTCCATTCTTATAATTAGATATTTTTACGATACATTTGGAGAGCATTACAAATTATATTGTGGTTTCCACAACTAAAGTAACCGGAGGGAGAATAAAAGGTTGTCAGAGCTGATCCCAAAATCACATCAGTTACAATCCAATTTATAATCCGGAATTGCCCTCAAGAGATAGCTGGGACATCAAAAATGAGTGACCTTGCTTAACTTGTTTCAATCAACACTAACCAAACTTTATAACATCAATTATTTGCCATTAAGCTCATTACCGAGATTAGTGATGCGATTTCAGACGTCTAATGACCCATCGAACTGGCTTGCTTGATGCAGTAGCTGTAGAAGATCATTTTCAACACTCTTTCTAAAACGAAAGCAGATATGACATACACGACCGAAAAGGTGTCATGCCAATAATATGTGTTCCTGTGTTATATATGCTTAAAAGGATAATACTAATTACCGAATGTGCAAACGTGGGGAACTTGTGGTCTATCAGCTCATATTTTATATGACGTGCACAATTGTGTAAGACGTTTTGCCATCTGTACGTTTCACTTCGATGGAAGTGAACTCCGAATTGCTCAATGTTTAGATAACCAACAACCTTCAACCAAATCGAACAGCTCCAACTGCGTTGCAGTAGCACTTTTCACGTAACTCGAACAGTGAGAAAATCATATATAAAAGGTGTGTACATTTAAAATGGTCAGCAAATGATAGAAACCAATCCCTTCTGTGCTGTGACGAATTTAGGTAGCAGATTTAAATTGCGTCGCCTACGATGAAGTTCTCCCAAAATGCCAGTTAAATAACCTCAACGTTTTAGATGGGGAATATTTGGCTTACTCCTGTTTCGTTTTTCACAGGCACCAGAAACTGTTTATGATCTTGGGTGTGGATTTTGCTCCTTGGAAGATGACTGATTCCCCATTACTTGAATGCTTTTTATTTTGATGGAAATGTTTGTAACAACCGACAAAGAGCACCAAACATCTGTTTCGTCCGGTTTGGGACATTTCATGTTCCCATCAGAACTCGAATTGCAAACCTTTAGATCGGAACTTTAAACCCTTACCCATGAGTTGCATGGCGGACGGTTATCACCTAGTGCGAATGGCTCACTCAGTTTAGATGGTGAATATTTGAAAGAGAGTAGTTGATTGCTTAAGAACCCTAAGGCATACCTATTCAATTACCAATGCCGACAAGCAGCTTGGCAATGTTCCAAGCAGTTGTATTGTCTATCTCTTACCGATCTCTTTGATCTTTGCCAAGAAATTGCTATTACTAAATGAAAAGTATTAACCGGTAAATGGATTAAATATTTGTGTCAGAACAATTGCACGTCTGATTCAGCTAACAATTCATCCCTGGAACTAAGTGGGTGACTCAGATTATTGCCGGCCAATATGGTAAACAACATAACCCGACCGAGAAAATTATGACTTGTTCAAGTTTACCAAATCAACGAATAAAACATACTGAGCAACAACGACATACTGTTACGACAATCAAAATGTAGAAACGTTCAAGAAACAGAAGGATCATAGCGCTGTTCTTTTTCGTTCTCGTGAACGTGGATTGACCAGTTCTTTGTTCCTTTAAGATGAAGTTTCGTGATCGTATGATAACCCAGCATAATCTTGAGAACAGGTTATTTGTATTTGAAATAAATTACTGAACAGGAATACAAATTTGTTTATCTCAAAGACATGGGAACTGGAAGTTCAAAAGTTTTTAGAAAGGAGGTTATTGACATCCAAATAAACGAAATGATGATTTTATTTATTGCGCCAGGCGCCCGAGTTGCAATGGACTTACCGCAGTCTCATTGTTGACATCACATATTTTCGGTTTTCGGGGTTCATCAAACCATGAAGATTCTATGATAACATGTTTTAATAAATTGACCGCATTACCAAAGGCTACCGATATCAACATATCAAAATATAAACCTATTGCTAGTTTGTTTGAAAAATTAAAGTAAACCTTCGAACTCGCTTAGTGGATGAGCTAAGAAAATGGGAGAAATTTCCGTTTATCTAAATTTGATCTCCAGTTTCCAAAAGATAAATTTACCCGTAATCAACCA